TGTCCCTCAGCTCTTCAGCTCAAGGCTAGCGCTCTACCACTTGAGCCACAGTGCCACTTCCAGCTTTTTTTTCTCTTTTTGGTTACGTGGTGCTGAGGAATCAAACCCAGGGCCTCATGCATGCAAGGCAAGCGCTCTACACTGAGCCACCTTCCCAGCCCCTAAAGGAAAAAAATCTTAACCCCATATTCCTTTGGAAGGGGAGTATTAACAATGGGATTCAAGGTCTATGTGACATTGTGTGAGGGGCCATTTTACCTACAACTATAGCTCTACTTATCCTACTAAAAGGCAGTGCAAAGAAGTCTTGAGAGGAAATAGTCTCTCAATAAGACATTGAGTTAAGGGGCTGGGAAGGTAGCTCAGTGGTAGAGCACTTGCCTTGCATGCCTGAGGCCCTGGGTTCGATTCCTCAGCACCACATAAGCAAAAAGAAAAGAGCCAGAAGTGGCACTGTGGCTCAAGTGGTAGAGCGCTAGCTTTGAGCTGAAGAGCTGAGGGACAGTGCCCAGGCCCAGAGTTCAGGCCCCACCACCGGACCCAAAAAAAAAACCAAAAACCAAAAAAACATTGAGTTAAATCAGTGAACAACTTATAAGGCTTCTTATTCCCTCTAAACATTCCCTCTCCATTCTTATTCTCTCTGAACAATTCTTATTTTTCTTTAAATAATTCATATTCCCTCTAAATAATAATTCTTATTCCCTCTAAACAATTTATAAGGCTTGTCATCCCCTCTACTAGGTAGATGGTATGTTTCCTGATGAGTAAGCTTTAAGCCAGGTTCTATTTCCTCCCGGCTTCTCAAGTAATTGTGACCATTATAGAATGTATCTTTCCCATTGTCCAAGAGTCTCACTATGGTGTTTGGATTTGTGGTCAATAGTAGTGGGGCTTGCTGTATGTTTTCAATTAGCCATATTTTTAAGGAAATGGCAAAAATAGCACATGTATTTTCAATTAAAATTTTATTGCTTTTAAAGATATAAACAGAAAATATTTGTGCTTTGTCTTTGAGCTCTAGGCTGTACAAAAGGGAAGCAGACCTCTTTTTATAATCTTTTGAAAATGAAAAATTTTTATTTTTTAAACTTGTTCTTGACTGAGATGTAAAAATATGACATTTGTCATTAATGAGGTATATGGTACCTATTGATATGAAACAATATGACACAAATCAGTAAGCAAAAGGCTTCAGAGCAACAGGACATAATGATGGAGGTCACATTTACATAGGCTGAGTACAGTGGTGAGGACTAAGGTAATGTCCAGATCCTCACATCCCTGTAAGTTAAATGTTCCATGTAGTAAGGTTATGATACTTGCCAGAGATATACAGTTTGGAATGGTAGAGCCCAGAATCTGAACTCAGATCTGTCTGATTCCAAAGCCCTTATCCAAACCACTGTACAAACTGCTCTTGCACAAATGGAGTCCTAAGCATCAGAAACTCTGATCTTTCTAGCAGAGCAAGGCCAAGGGAGCCCCTCTGTGGTATCTGTCTGTCACAATTCATTTTCAGAAACCAGATAGTGTTAAGATTCTGTTTATAACTTGTAATCGTATTTTATGTTATTTTAAGAACATAATTTTTGCATTTCCAGATTGCCTCCGAGAAAAACACATCTGTAGGCCTCTACCCAGGTCATGATTGTTTATAATCAATACTTCTGGAAAATGTTTCCATTCTATCATTTTTGTTGAACACAGATTTAGAAAACCACACAGTTCAGTAAGATGATGTGATTAACAAACCCTTGAATTGGTGCTATCTATGCCGTCAGTGATTTGGCTTTGATACTCATACCAGAAAGAAAGACAATTATTACCAAAACTACTTATGAGCCCCTTTTTCCATTGGAGAGTGAAAATGCTTTCTTCTTCACATGTTCTTCTCATTGAAGTAGGAATGATGGTGGGAAGTTTTCAAAGTTGCTTGGATCAAACCCAGGGCTTTGTACATGCTAGATAAGCATTCTTCCACTGAGCTATACCCTCATCCCAGAACAGGTATTTTTGGAGTCATCTGTAGTTTGTTTTAGGTTCTGGGGAATATCATCTTATTTGTTCTGTACAAGTTTTCATTATGGGACCAAAATAGATCTAAGTAGTTTAGTCTGTATCTTTCTAAAGAAGTCACACACTGCCTTTATGTCTCAATGTCCTTCATGTACATGGTGCATGCTTTGATTTCCATGTTAAGCACTGTATTAGTTAAGTCTTTTTTTTATGCTGTTAATATATCACCAGAACTCATGGGCATTCTTGCCAAGCCATCGTAGAAGAATCCCATAAAAATTTATAGCTTACATATTTAAACTTTACAGAGTTTCACAATTTTTAAAACTAGTACAGACAAATACACTATTTTGTTCTTTGTTAGGTAAGGCATATAATATTTTCAGAGCAATGTCAGTATCTTATTGACATTGTTTCCATCAATTACTATCTCTTTCTTACACAATTCCTTACTAATTAAAACTCTTCCAACTCCTTCTTTGGACCTTTGAGCTAAAAGTGATAGAAATGATCAGGTACCAAAATATTGCCCAGTCAGTGTAGAAATTATGATTTAGTGTCATATCATTAGAACTAATTATCTGGAGTATATGGCATATCTTGAAGGAAGTAATAACAACAATGGCTTCTATTTATTAAATATGTACTAAATGCCAGATACTTTGTTAATACTTCCTTAGTTGCTTCACCTAATACTCATAGTTCTATAAGAGAGACACTGTCTTACCTATGGACACATATAACTTGAAGATTTAGTAATTTTCCCAAGGTACACAGTGTCAGTCAGGATTTGACCTGCCTTACATTAAACTGTGAAACTCATGCCCCATGTTATTAAGAGAAAGTTGAATACAAGACCTTAATCATACTCTTAAATATGAAGAATCATTTCTTTTTCTCTTTTCTTTTTTTGTCAATCAGGGTCTGGGTATTGTCTCTGAGTTCTTTCACTCAAGGCTAGTGCTCTACCACTTTGAGCCACAGCTCCATCTCTGTTTTTTTAAGTGGTTAATTGGAGATAAGAGTCTCATGGAATTTCCTGCCCGGGCCAGCTTCGAACTGCAATCCTCAGATCTCAACCTCCTGAGTAGCTTGGATTACAGGCATGAGCCACCAGTGCCTGGCTGAAGAGTCATTTCTTTAAAAAAGCAGGGTATTGGGTCATTCAAAGTCATTTTAACTGAAGACATATCCTATACGATTTTTACCATTCCAAAGGAAAATGATAGCAATTCAGAAGAACAGGAAGGATGAAATTAGCAACTACTGAATGTGATCCTGTAGTATTCCATTAGCATTGAAGATCAGCTGGAGACCCATGAGTCTCCTTGACACACAAGGACTTTAAGAGATTGTCTGTGCTGATAGAGCACTTAATACTCCATTCTTAAACCTGGCCTTGCTATCCTGCTCCTTTCTCTTTCCATCCTCAATTAAGCTGCCATTTGTATAGGATTTATTATGTGCCACTGGTCCATTCGAGAGATAGTAACAGAGGTGTGGAAGAAAACTGGATCATAAAAAATGGAGCTTACTTCCATTTTTGGCTTGTCAAAGGGGCAACCAAGTCATAGCTGACCCTGAGGACAGACAGAGATAACCCGACTACAGGTACATTCTAGGCACTGAATCTCACACCAAATGCTGAGTGCCTTTGTCAGCAGTAGATGTTTTTTTTCTGAGTGACCGAGATGTACAAACTATCCAAAATGAGCGTGGTGTGGAGTATGTCATATTTTTCCAGGGAAGAATATTCATTTCCTCCTTCTCTTGGGCTTTTAAACAAAATGGTATAAATGAGGATTTTTAAGGAAAATAAAGTTTCTTGACCTACCAAAATGTGAAAATATTGTATGGCAGTAGACCGTGCGAGTTCATTTTAGAGTCCTTTCCAGGAATTTTGAGTGTTAGGAATGTTGTTTTATGTAAGTGGGATTATGTTAAATCATATTTTAAATGCCTAGTGAAATTTGGGACTCTTTATTCATTGTTTTCAAGTCAACTAATTTAAAAGAAGACTGTTACTTCTTTAGAGACATCTTACTTCTTTCACAAGCTTGGAAGTAGAACTCTGACATTTGTGGTAATAGGCGAAGAAACCACAAACATCCAGAGTTTAAATGATTGCTTTTAGTCAGCACTAGCAATATGATAGGCTGTGAATATATAATTTTGAAGTTAAAATTTGATAAGCAAAAGTATACATGGGCATCTTAAGTATAATTAACCTTCTGCTTCTTTAGCTAATATGATCCCACCTCCCAGTCCCAATTTTCTCTGCATTTAGGAAGAATTGATTAGCTATTTGAGCTCTGAAGAAAAGCCTGTTTTCTGGTCTCTGGGTTTTGAATAACTGATAGGCCTTGCCTGAAGATAAGCTGGTGAAAGTTAGAGCTGGGGTTTCCCTACCTGGGTACTTATCAGTCTTCTCCTAAACCACAGTCTGCCTTTTGAGAGCTCTAATAATTAATTTGGTCTTCTCTCTTTTTCTTCTCCCCTCCCCCTTCCTCCTCCCTGTCTGTTCACAGGTTATCTTGACGAATCAAATTACAACGCATCTGAGTGGAGCCCGTGCTGCTCAGGCAGACCTGGTGTCTCCCGCTGATGATTTGTCCCTGACGGAAGGTAAGAGATCTGTCCTGAAAGTTGACACTGACATACAGCCCCGACGCCTCCCTGCCTCCTGTTGAGAGCTGAGAGACATGGCTAATGGGTGCTGGCCAGTGAAGCCCAGCCTGAGACCGGGACATATAGGCTTGGTTGCCTTTCAAGGCACTTGATCACTTGGCTCCCAAATCTCTTGTCCTGTCTCTGTACGTGAGCTCCCTTTTCACATGAATGAGTCATCTTCACAGCATCCAGTATTTCCATCTGGAGAGAAGCTTGTCCAGCCTCTGTGGCTAGTCTCAGGTCCTTATCATGAGCACTGACAAATTACAAAATGACGGTTTCTGAGACTGATGCTCAAAGGCTGCCTTGACTAGTAGTTTGATAGTAGTTTAGCTGTTCATTTGTACCGAATACCTTTGAACTGACTAATGATGAACGCATATGCTAGAGATGTGTCTCTTCTGATCAGCTTTATAGCAATAATAAGACAATCTCTTTCACAGTATTAAATCTGCAAATTTTGACCTACCTTCTCCTGCTAGCAAAGGTTAGGCTAGATATATTTGTGGTCGCAATGAGCCTTGTGTAGCTAGCTGGGGAGATTATATCAGCAAGCCAGAGGGTAGTTTTTACTTTTATTGTAAGTTCTTACTTGACATTTCTGAGTTCTTCTAGTTGTAGTTGAATTTCAGGAACAGTGCTGTGGGCCTAAGTAGATGACCATAGTTCTTCAACACTCCTCTTCCCTTTCCCTTTCTAAGAATTGTTCAAAGTGGAACACAGAAAACTTTTAGACTTAGCAAGGCTCTTAAGTAACTCCTGGGTATTCCTCTGAGGATCAGCTTTGGTTTATAGCTCCAAAAGTTGCAAGGACCATACCCTGCTATTTGATGGTGTCTCTCAGAGTGCAAACTAATGATATATTTGTAAAAGTTGTCAAATGCTTTATGCTTTCTCTTTCTAAATTCAGTGATGCATCCTCCTCCTGCCACCTGGGCTGAAAGTCTGAATCACACAGAATTTATACTTCCTCAAAACCTGCTTTCATTACCATGTCTGCCTTAGTTTTTCTTTCCAAATATATCTCTACCCTGTCCCCCTGTTTTATAATCTATATTGTGATCAACTTATTTATGAAACCCACAACTATCTTAATTCAATAAAATCTAAAAGACAATCCCAACTCAAGTCTCTGCCACTTCCAATTTGTCCCTACTACGTCCAACTTTCTCCTTCCAGCTTCTTTCTTTTGTTCTCACTCTTATTTAAACCACTGGGAATTGTCTTCGCTGAAAATGAGCTAGAATGAATCAGATAGTATTTGAATACTCAGAGATTTAAGATTTGTTATAATCAGCCAGCATAGAAAAATTTACACCATGGCCTCACAAATGCAAAAACTCAAGTGTTTTGCTTTTCTTTTGAGTAGACCAGTTTTCAGAACACACCACTAGGTAAGTTTAATGCTTCTTAACACGTTAGAGTCTACCTTTTCCTTCCAGTTCATCCTGATGATTCCTTAGGTGAAACTCCTATGCCAAGTGTGTCGGTCTTCTGCCTGCCCTCCTTACTCCTCTCCATGTGTCTAGATACAAATTAGTTTTTCCCTTTCCCAATGCTATGGCTTTTTTTTTTTTTTGACATGGAAGTGGTTTAAAGACTGCCCCTTACATGAACTTGCTCCTCCTCTCTGGCTTCTCTACTTTTTCAGTTAGATAAAGAAAATGTCCTGAAAAATTAACAACTTTTTATATTTTCTGACTAAGATGACAGATTTTTAAAGTCATAATTTACATTGTTTTTGGTGTTGTGTTGATGGTTTGCTCCTGTGGTAGCAATGTTCTAGACACATTATAATCAGTAAATCAATACTAGATGACTATTATAGTACATACATTTGGAAGAACAATAACTATGTTAATTACATCAAACAATTAGGAACATCATTAAAAATGGTTATAATTACACACACTCGCGCGCATGCACGCACACACACATACACACACACAGATCTCTGAGGAGACTAGAAGAGAATATCTTACTTTTTTATTTCAAAGTCAAAAAGTCACTTTTCTTTGTCTTGACATCTTACTTTATCTTAAGCAAAGAAGATTTGCAAAACACACAAAATAAATGGCTCTGAATTCTAGTGTAACTGCTTTGAGAAAAATGATAAGGTTTTAACAAAGGGAGAGTTACCAGCTTAAAGCAACTTTTCCTAATTACAACATCCAAGGGAAAATGCAATTAGTATTTCGAGATCTCTTTTTTTGTACAACTAAACATGTAAAGAACAGAAGTATTTTTCTAAAAGTCTATACCGCTACTTACCAGTGCGGTAAAGTGGACAAATGTGAGCTGGGGATATACCTGGTGGTTAACCATTTGCCTTGCATGCACGAGACACTGGGTTTTATACCCAGCACTGAAAAAGAAAAGAAAAAAAAGAACACACATTTCTGAGAACATTTATTCCCATTCAAGCTTATTGCAGTGGCTGAATGAAGTTACATATATGAAGTATTCAAAACATAAATTGCCTTGTTTCAAACATTCATTGTATCAGTTTTGCCTATGATCTTGGGTTGACCTTTTAAGCATATTAGGCCTCAGTTTCTCTTAGGTTCAGTGTTAGGTTGGATCACTAAAAGATTGCTCAAGTCTTTTCCAGCTGACAGACTTACATTGTAAGGTGGGTCTGCACCCCAGGAGCACCCACCCCCGCATGGGGTTTATGTACTGATTTACAGAGGCCTGTAATAGATTTCAGCTGCAAAGCAGAGGACATTGCTTAAAACAGTTGTGGGGTGAGAACAAATGGTCAAGAGCAGCCAGCGAGAAAATGATCTGAGGTGACCTGAGAGGAGAGGACCCAGCAGGGGCTGATGAAGGAAAATGAACGCTCTTCTGCACTGACGCAAGTGACCTGGCCCAACTGAAAGATCTCTTCTACCCCAGCGGATCCTGTGCTATTAATATCTGCCAGCTGCAAGCCCAGAGCATCCCCTGCCGAGATCAAAGGAGCCCCTATCTTAGCTAGAACAAGGTCATCTGCACAGGGCTATAAAAGTGAGCCTGGGCTGGCTGCAGGGACATTTATGGGGGAGGAGAAGTCAGGAGATGGGGAGGTGCTCTCTCACGCTCCTTTAATCTCAGCTGACCAGCTGTTGCCCTCTCCATGTTTGTAAGGTTGAGAGTTCTTTGTTTTTGTGTTGCTCTCCCTTCCCTTCTTTATTACATTTACAGCAGGGTTGTTGCTTAGATTAAGTAGACTCCATGCTCACTGCTTGAGTCCACTGTATGATTTCCTTCTTGGAGATTTCATCCACTGGAGTTTTCCAGCTCCTAAACCGGAAAGCCACAAAAGTGAGATGTGGATTCAAGGCCAATGACTTGCTTGTGTCTTGAGAAAGGGATGAGATAGCAATTTAATTTCCCCTATTTAGTTAACTCTGTTTATATATCATGTGCTTGTCAGTTTGTACCCTGCCTTTCACAAACTATCTCATTTATTTGGGAGAATGTAACTTTTAGAATTTATGAAACTTCACAAGAGTTACAAAGTCATCCATCCTAGTGTTTCTTATGCTCATTGGCTGACACATACCTGATTGTCTCTATGTTGGTCTGAGAGAGAAGCAAAGAGAACAAGAGAACGACAAGATCAGCAATGTACTCATGGTGAGAAAGAGACTTACATACACCAGGAAGGGGGGTGGGGAGGAGTTGTTACAGGTACACCAAAGTATCAAGATTAAAGTTTCTGAAGATCCTTATAATTATGTTTAACCTAGGGCAGTATTAGTTATTCTTTTTTAATTTTTATTAATTTTTTGTTTATATGGTACAAGATATCGAACCCAGGGCCTCATGCATGCTAAGCAAGCACTCTAACACTACGCCATATTCCCAGTCCTATTAGTCACTCTTTACAAGAGAATTAAATCTCATCAGTAGCTGAATGCTCCTGATCTCCATACCCAACTCATCATCTTATAATATCACAGCTGAAGGAATTGAGTAATGTTCTTTTTGTCCACAGAAGAGATGGTTTTGTATTTTGCATTATTCTGAGGTAGCCACTGTGATTAAATACATTTTCTTCCATTTTTGTATTGTTGGCAAAACACCAGTATATACATTATCCTGACAGTTGGTGATTAGTTTTGTGACAGTTCTGTTTCTTAGCCCTTTGCCACTTCTTCCTTGTGTCTATTTATGACCCTAAGGATTGTTGGAACCTCAATCACAGGGACTGCCTCCTTCCTACATTGACAGAGAAAAGATCTTGAGGCTACATCTACTAGAACACAGTTGGCAGGTGACATTGATGTATGGAGACAGTTGAGCCTTGTGCTTAATTGAAGCCTTGCTTAACCTAGACCTTTAGCTTTCTTCTTTTGATGATTTGGCATGGTCACAGTTACTTTCAGTGTGGTGACATGTCCATACCAGCATCTGGCATGTTGATATTTTATATTGATATTATCCATTTTTATAGACTATAGTACGTGAAACCTAAAAATTAAAAGGTCAAGGAAAGAACATAAGGGGAAAAAAGTTACTGCTTACTAGAACCCAGAGTGGTTTCTCATTTTAGTGCTGGAATCCTTCCTTCCCAGCTACAGTCAAGGGAATTGATGGCTGATTTCATGTTCAAGAGAAAGTATTTTGGGATTCAAGTTCCCTAACAAGCCATCCCTGCAAAAAGCTGGAGACCATGTGAAAGATTATATGCAAGTGTGTGTGGCTTGTGTCTCTTTTAAAATAAATTCAGCAAGCAAGAGCAACACAGAATGGTTGGGGCGAATCAGGGACTCATGGTTGTGAAAGACGCAGACTTCAAAGTGTGGTATGATTTTCTGAGTTTTATTTCCACTCTTGCTTTCCAGCTGGATCTGCTCTGGATTTACTGCAGGATGTTTGAAAATGTGGCTCCCTGCTAATCTCAGACAGTTGCTATGATCAATGGTTTCTTGCGTTTCCGATAGAAAACATTGGTGTTTCTGCTTAAA